GCAGAATTCTACCAAACATTTAAAGAAGAGTTAATACCTATTCTTTTCAAACTGTTCCAAAAAATAGAAATGGAACAAAAACTTCTAAACTTATTCTATGGGGCCAGCATTCCCCTGATTCCAAAACGAGACAAAGACTCCTCGAAAAAGAGAACTACAGGCCAATATCTCATGAACATGGATGCAAAAATTCTCAACAAGACTAGGTAATCTGATCCAACAGTACATTAAAAGAATCAATCACCACAATCAAGTGGAATTTATTCCTGGCATGCAAGTGTGGTTCAATATTTGCAAATCAATGTGATATACCACATTACTAAGAGAAAGGATAAGAACCATATGATCATTTCAACAGATGCAGGAAAAGCATTTGACAAAGTACAATGTCATGTACTTTCATGATAAAAATCCTCAACAAAGTAGGGTTAGATGGAACATACCTCAACATCATAAAGGCCATATATGAAAAACCCACAGCTAATATCATCCTCAATGGGGAAAAACTGAGAGCTTTTCCTCTATGTCTGGAAAAAGGGATGCCCACTATCACCACTGTTATTTAACATAGTTTTGGAAGTCCTAGCCTCAGCAATCAGACAACAAAAATAAATAAAGGCATTCAAATCAGCAAGGAAGAAGTCAAACTTGCACTATGCACAGATGACATGATACTCTATGTAGAAAAGACTCCACCAAAAAATTGCTAGAACCAATACACAAATTTAGTAAAGTTGCAGGATACAAAATCACCACAGAGAAATCTGTTACATTTCTATATACCAATAATGAAGCAGCAGAAAAAGAAATTAAGGAATTGATCCTCTTTACTATTGCACCAAAACCAATAAGATACCTAGGAATAAACCTAACCAAGGATATAAAAGACCTATACTCTTGAAAACTATAAAACAGTGATGAAAGAAACTGAAGAGGACACAAAGAAATGGAAAAACATTCCATGCTCATGGATTGGAAGAATACTGTTAAAATGTCTATAACTCCCCAAAGCAATCTACATATTTAATGCAATCCCTATCAAAATACCACCAGCATTTTTCAGAGAACTAGAACAAACAATCCTAAAATTTGTACAGAACCACAAAAGACCCAGAATAGCCAAAGCAACCTTGAAAAAGAAGAGCAAAGCTGGGTGCATCACCATTCCAGACTTCAAGCTGTATTACAAAGCTGTAGTGATCAAAACAGTATGGTACTGACACAAAAATAAACACATAGATCATTGGAAGAGAATAGAAAATCCAGAAATGAACCCACAACTATGTGGTCAATTAATCTTCAACAAAGCAGGAAAGAATATCCAATGGGAAAAAGACAGTCTCTTCAACAAATGGTGTTGGGAAAACTGGACAGCCACATACAGAAGAATGAAACTGGCCCACTTTCTTACACTAAACAAAAATAAAGTCAAAATGGATGAAAGACCTAAATGTGAGACTTGAAGCCATAAAAATCCTACAGAACACAGGCAATCCCTATTAAAATACCAACAATATTTTTTATAGAACTAGAATAATCCTAAAATCTGCATGGAACCACAAAAGACCTCAAATAGCAAAAGCAATCATGAGAAAGAACAAAGCTGGATGTATTACAATTCTAGACTTCAAACTATACTACAAAGTTGTAGTAAATAAAACAGTATGGTAGGGGCATAAAAACAAACACATAGATCAATGAAACAGAATAGAGAACTCAGAAAGAAAACTCATGTGTATATTGTCAATAAATTTATAACAACAGAACCAAAAACAGGGAAAGACAATCTCTTCAATAAATGGTGCTGGGAAAGCTGGACAGCCACATACAAAACAATTAAACTGGACCACTTACACCCTACACAAAAATAAACTCAAAATGGATTAGAGACCCATACCTGAGACCTGAAACCATAAAACTCCTAAAAGAAAACATAGGCAGTAAACTCATGGACATTAGCCTTAGCAGTATTTTTCTGGATATGTCTCCTCAGGCAAGGGAAACAAAAGCAAATATAAATAATTGGCACGACATCAAACTAATACATTTTTGCACAGTGAAAAAAAACCATCAAGAAAACAAAGAGGCAACTTACAAGATGGGAGACAATATTTGCAAAGGTATATCGGATAAGGGGTTAATACCCAAAATATATAAAGAAAACACACAAAAAACCCCCAAATAATCTGATTATAAAATGGGCAGAATACCTAAAAAGGTGTTTTTCTAACCAAGAAAGAAGACTTTCTTTCTAAAGAAGACATACGGATGGCTGACAGACACATGGAAAGGTGCTCAACATCACTGATCATCAGGGAAATGCAAATCAAAACCACAATGAGGTATCACTTTACACAGAATGATTGTTATCAAAAAGACAAGAAATAACAAGTCTTGGCAAGGATGGAGAAAGGGGAACCTTCATGCACAGTTGGTGGGAATGTAAATTGGTGCAGCCACTTTAGAAAACAGTATAGAGTTTCCTCACAAAATTAAAAATAGAAATACCAGGGCGCCTGGGTGGCTCAGTTTGTTAAGTGACTGCCTTCGGCTCAGGTCATGATCCTGGAGTCCCTGGATCGAGTCCCTGCATCGGGCTCCCTGCTCGGCGGGGAGTCTGCTTCTCCCTCTGACCCTTCCCCCTCTCATGCTCTATCTCATTCTCTCTGTCAAATAAATAAATAAAATCTTAAAAAAAAAAAAAAAAGAAATACCACACCACCCATTAATATTATTTTTGGGTATTTACCTAAAGAAAAATAAAACAACAATTCAAAAAGATGTGGCTTTTGTTTACTGCAGCATTATTTACAATAGCCAAGATATGGAAGCAACCTAAGTGTCCATCGATAAAGATGTGGTATATATAAATACAACAGAATGTATTCTTCCATAAAAAAGAATAATCCTTGGGGTGCCTGGGTGGCTCAGTCAGTTAGGCCTCTGACTACTGATTTCAGCTCAGGTCATGATCTCAGGGTCATGAGATGGAGCCCCGCTCCAGACTCAGTGAGGAGTCTGCTTGAGATTCTCACTTCCTCTCCCTTTGCCCTCCCCCCACATGCACTCTTATCTCTCTCTCTCAAATAATAAATCTTAAAAAAAAAATAAATCTTGCCATTTGCGACATGGATAGATCTAGAGGGTATTATGTGAAGTAAATCAGACAAAGAAACACAAATACTATATGATTTCACTTATATGTGGAATCTAAAAAACAAATGAACAAAAAATCTCAGAGAACCTGTGGTTGCCAGAGGGGAAGAGGAATGTGAGCAGTATGTGAAGGGGATTAAAATATAACAAAGTTCCAGTTACAAAAATAAGTCACAGGGATGAAATGTACAGCATAGGGAATATAGCCAATAATAATATAATAACTTTGTATAGTGATAGATGGTAACTACACTTATCCTGGTGAACATTTTGTAATATATATCATTGTTGAATCATTATATTGTAAACCTGAAAGCAATATTGTCAACTATAGTTCAGTTGAAAATAAAATATTATGTGCTGAATGCCTCATATGGACCAGGCAATATACTAAAATATCATCTAAGTCCCACAATGTTTCAAGGAAGAGTGTCTAAAGTCACAAAAAGTGTCAGAGTCAGGGACTTCTAGCCAGTTGTCTATGACAAAGTCCTTCTCAGTATAAGCTGCTACTCCAAAGAATGGTTTGAAGAATATCAACATTACCTGAGACCCTGTTAGAACTGTCACATCACAGACATGCTAAATCAGAATCTGCATTTTAACAAGATCCCTGCATGATTCCTATGTACCTTAGTTGGAAAAGCTCTGAATTATGCCACATTGGCTCTCTCCACCATATTTCTACTCTGGTATAAGGTGGACTCAAACATGTATATTGATAAGCCAAGGACAACTTTTAATTTTAAGAAATTCTTCAGCTGATGCTAATTGCTTTTTTTTTTTTTTTAAGATTTTATTTATTCATGAGAGACAGAGAGAGAGAGAGAGGGAGAGGGAGAAGCAGACTCCCTGCTGATCAGGGAGCCCGATGTGGGCTCAATCCTAGGAGCACAGGATCACGACCTGAGCCAAAGGCAGACACTTAACTGACTGAGCCACCCAGGCATCCTGCTAATTGCTTTTAAGAACCAACTGATAAATTAATTCTTTGAGACCCAAACAAGGCTTTTGATTTCTAAAAAGGATTATGTCTGGAAATATTTTCTCTCTTAAATCATACTGTTCACACATTCCTTTCTGGGATATCTTTTATGTTTTAAATCGAAAGCCAATAAGGTAACTGTATGAAACCCAGTGAAGTATTATGAAATACTACTTACCTGTATAGTGTTTTGTAGTCACCAAGTGTGTTTTTCATATTTCTTGGAATGACTCTAAGAGTTTATCATTGGGACTCAGGTAAATCGTCTAAGGTCACATAATAGGTAATAGCAGGACTAAGACTCAAATGTGGTTCTTTGCCATTTCCATGTCTGTTTCACCACATAAGACTGAACAATGCAGGCAAGCACCATAAACTATGTAGTAAAGCAGTCATTTCTCAGAAAACAGCAGCACTGTTTTCGCAGCTCCCGCAGATCTAACCCTGGAGTTATCACAGGGAGAAGTCCCCAGTTCTACACCTGGGGAACCCTGGCTTCCATCGCTGCTTTATTCTTGAAAGACTTCCACAGGTTTTGGGGGGGATGGGAGGTGGGAAGGAGCATCGGCACTCTACTGGAGTAACTTTTCTCTGAGACCACCAAAATCATTGTGAACATCTACAGTCCTAGCTGAAATAACATGTAAGTCTTTATAATTCATTTAAGGATGTATTTATTTACAAGATACAAATGCTTAATATTTAATAGGAATTAAAGTGCTTAATTTTACAATGTTTCCAATTCTATGCCTTTATGACCAAATATACATATGTTACACAATATATACACTATATGCAAATATTACATTCATATAGCTAGAAAAGAATTACTTTTTGTGTATACTTTTTCACATTGGCGTTAACTCTAAAATTCTGGTAACATACTTTTTCAAACTGATCAGTCAACAATTCCAAAACCCAGATAACACTTATTCAAAAATATCAGTCAATTGTCACTCACAAAATAAAATGCTAGTTTGGTTAAAAAAAAAAAAGTTTTATATACAGACATGATTGCTAATGAATGGAGACCCCCTCAGGTGATACATTCCAACATCCACATAATATGTAATATATAATGCAATTCTGTTATCATAATGGTCCCCAAGACTACTGTGTTCCTTACCAAACCGATATATATATGTATATATATCTCACTCTATGTATTTGGTATTCACTTATTAAAATATGCTACAATGAGATTTCTTGATTTAATTTCTCACTAAACGTACCATAACAAATTTTAGGAAGAAGTATACCATCATGTAACTCCCAGTGACCCCAATGATTTAAAAACTATCTTGTAGAAGCCATGTGCTAGTTCATCTCAAAACACAGAAAAGATACAGCATTCTGCCAAATGCTCAGTCCAAAAAGTGGAAAAACCATGATTGACTTTAGAGGATTTTTTTACCTCAGTAAACAGTGTAGAAAATGGCCCATAGGTTGAAAGTATTTTAAGCCTAAAGGAAAAAGTAACTAATGGAGAAAGGCCTAGGTGCAACAGATCCCATCAGTACGCAATTACAAAGATTTCTATTTTATAGTTCATATCCCTTCTGCTGTGTAAGTATTTTTCTCTTGTCTTAACATAACTTGCTCTGATCTGGTGATCAGCAGTCTCTTTCTGTCCACCTCTCTGTTCACTCTTATTTCAGTTCCTAATTTTTTATTCCTCTTTACTGTATCAGTAAAGAAAGTAATCTCATGAAAACATGTTTATGGGGCACACATAAGAATGAATTGTACTAAAAATCCACGTAAATAATTTATGTTAAAATATTTAAGTTAAAAAGAACAGTTTCTATAAAAATGTCATTCCTATGGAAAAACAGAATTGGAAATCAACAATGTTTTTACATATATACATATATGCATAAATTCACAGAAAGGGTTTTAAAAGTGTATCTAGTGGTCTTTATATATCATACTCATTTTCTAAATCTGAAGAATCTATAGTAGATAGTAATATGAAAATAAAAAGCAATTTGATTCTACTAAAATTGGATGAGAATGAAGAAGTAACACGATCCACTATTGGTGTCAATACAGTTCTAGAGAATAAGAACTGGTTAGCCACAGTTTTTATATTAATACATTCTTGAAGAATACAAAATTGAAGAATGAAAACATTAAGACATTCTTGCCTTTTGAATTAATTTTAGCTTATAAATACCATGTGCTTAATCTTAGACCCGCTAACACGAACATCGTATGATGTAGGAAATTTAATTAATCTTTTATTCTGCATTATAGCAAGGATACCTGCAAAAAATAAGACCTTTGTTCCTTAGAAGCTTATTTGCTCCTGTTGGTGCCTTTTCCTCTGGATATATCTAGTCCAGAAAGATCATTATTAGAGTCATCGCAGACAATATTCTCAAAATAAGAACTTAAGGCTTTAAATATAATCAGAAATGGGATCTAAAATTTGAAAGAAAAAAAAACACCTACCTTGTTTCCACAAAGTAGACAAGAAAAAGTAAAACAGAATTGTGAACTCACAGAAGTTTTTAGAAGGCATCAATGAATCTTTAACAACCCTGCAGTACAATGAAGTTTGTAGTTTATATACTTATGACTACGACAAGTACTCTTTTAAAAAATCCAAATGTGTATTTATATATGGGGACAGGGCACATTTAAAAGGTTAGTTCTTATAAAAAGTTTAGTAATTTTTTAGGTTGGAGTATTTGTTTTTTAATTGGGGTAGGTCACCCAATGAAGGTAAGTACACCAACCTGTATGTGGTATTAAACTTCATGGAAAATGAAATGTAGCTTGATAAAGTAGTGCAGATGTGCTTAAATCTCTCACCCTCCATACCCTTTGCTAAAGGAAAAATGCTTTTGACGGTTATTTGAATCCAAGGAATAATGCCCCCCCTTCCCTTCCCTATACTCAGCAATTTGAGTTATAGTATCATTTCTAAAAGTAATTCTCTATATCCTTGTGGCGAGGGGCATTCATATTAAAATTTCAGTATAAAAACATACCCTGAAGAATTTTATTGCTTGCATACATGATGGCATTGTAGATGCCATTATTACAAAAGTGGCTGGTGGCATTTTTCATTATTGAGTCCCACTTAAAACCTGGAGCTAAGTCTGCACTACATTTCATACTTAATATACCAAATGGTAGACTTTCAGTAAAAGCAAAATTTAAGTTTAAAAAACTGGAATGTTTTGTAATGAATAGCAGTTTTTATCAAAGAAATATTTTTTAAGTTTGGAGAAAGGACACTTTAAAAAGGACTTGGAAAGCACCAAATTAGGGAAAATGAAGAATAAAGCCTATATGGAATGTTGGTTCTAAGAGGAAAGCAATCACAATTGGTTTTTTTTATGTGCAATTTGTCGTGACTGCTCAGGTGTCTCGGAAACCAAGACATGCGACGGTTCTTGAAACCAATCACACTTTGACGTCTTTTGGTTTAGCTGGATGTTTACTAAATGCCTGCCTAAGAGTATTCCCTTGCCTTTCTCCAAGTAAAAGCATTAGTGATTCTTTATGAGAAACACAGGTAAGGTTGCCTCAATGCTTCTCTTTGTGCTTGAATAAAGAACACGGGGTGGACCATGAAAGATGGTAACTGGATAACCAGAAATTCTCTTCTAGTACTATTATTTCTAATTTTTTTGAAAAATTGAAGAGCCTGACAATATTCTTTTTACGTATTCTTTTGATAATCTCAATTAAATAACATTGATATTTATTGAGCCAAAACTTGAGTGTATCCATGTTACTCCCATTGCAGGAGAACAATTTATGATCGGCAGAGTGAAGTCTCCTCACGGTTCAAAATAGTTTTCAAAAATAAGCTGGCCCATAAATCTTCTAAACTGGCCCTTACGTTTCCATTGCTCTATTCACAATTTACAAAAGTCATGTTCTCCTGATAATCATTCCACGTTTTTATTGCTTCTCTTTTTTGGAGATTAAGAATGCTAATGTATCATCTACAGCTATAGTGTAACTGTCTCAAAAGCCACCCTGAATACATATGTTGTACAGACACACACACCACCCCCCACATGGTTGGCAACTAGAAAAGAGAAGTAATCTAACATTTCTTTCAGTCTGTCCCTGATTTGATAGGGCCTAAGAAGCTACGCCTTTATCTCTTTCTGATTCCAAATATTTGGTTTAATATTAATGATCATGGGGGCGCCTGGGTGGCTCAGTCGTTAAGCGCCTGCCTTTGGCTCAGGTCATGATCCCAGAGTCCTGGGATCGAGCCCCGCATCGGGCTCTCTGCTCAGCGGGAAGCCTGCTTCTCCCTCTCCCACTCCCCCTGCTTGTGTTCCCTCTCTCGCTGTGTCTCCGTCAAATAAAGAAATAAAATCTTAAAAAAAAAAAAAAAAAAAAAGATCATGGCTGGCATTCCTTTATATTATAGAGGAGGGCAATCTAATTGTGTCAGCCATAATTAGTTTACCTTCTCCTTTGGAGTGGGGAGAAGGAGGAGAGTCTTGAAATATTTCTTAAAACGACAGGCCTGAATAAATGTGTGGGCTGTCTCAAACTCTGAGTGAATCCATTCTACACTTAAGGTATAATTATATTCTCAAAGGCCCAGATAGTAGGGTCGTTCTTGGGGATTTCTAGATTTCTAGCAGATTTAGGCATTTAAAAGTGATAATGTTTGGGGCATAACAGGGTAAATGGGGAAAAAAACTAGTTTGAGAAAAAGAGTAAGTTAAATAGCCAACTTAATGTGAGATTTTAATCACAACCACAATATAATGAAGAGCAGCCTTTGTGACAAGAAATCATGTTTTGACTATTAAAAATTCCCCAGACGACAGGGGGGAAAATGCTCAGAGTCTCTTCAAACATCTTGTACCTCCCAAACCTGCCATTAAAATATTGCTTTCATTATTGTTTTCCCCTCCTCTTCTTCACTGAGGTGGTTTAAAGAGTTGAACATAAACTTCCTCTAATATCTATATATCTGCCCCTCAAACACAGGTTATCACATATGAATTTCATTTCCCCTCTGACAAAGGAATAGGCCCACAGTTATCTTAAGTGTTAATTATATATAGTCCTCATTTAACCATGCTGAACGGTCTTATGGGAAAGAAAAACATCACAATAAATGTAGTTTCCATATGTCCCAGTTCTGTATAAAGTCAGGTATCTTGTACAGTTTAGGTTTCTGTGAACATTTTTGCACATGCTGATGTTAACTGCTGCAACAATTGCAGGATTGTGAAAGGTAAAATAACCTGTGTGACTTTGACCATCCTAGTGGCCAAAGTGTATTATTATCTCAAAATAATCAAGACTGAAGCATTAATTAAACCCTCATTATAAATTTAAATAGGTATTATTAGCACCTTCAAAGAGAGGCACTGTTTTAAATAGGCACAGAACAAAAAAATAGTACTTTAAAAATACTGTTGGAACTAATATATCCCATGCCACATAAATTACTGCTTTTTCTTATTATAAAAATATCAATACCCTTAGATGTCAATCAGTTAAACATAAATCACCAAAAACATTTCTGAAGTTTAGAACATTGTTCAATTCCAAGATAAAACATGCTTTATATTTAAAAAATAAATTAGAGACAAATATGAACCTAAAGCTGAAGAGAAAAGCATGTATAATATAATTATATTCATATTTAATACTTTATACACATAGTTGCTATATTCTTGAGATATTTTCTTCTTAGGAATATTTCTACAAAAACAAGTATTATCTTTTCTTAATAAGTTGAAAGTTTGAACACCAACAACTTGTCCTGTTTTAAAAGAACATACATTATTTATGTAGCTTGAGCTTTATAAACTAAATTAAATAAGTTAATACAATAGCCTAAACTGTCCCTGTTTTTTTTTTTTTTTTTTTTTTTACCATGGATTTATTTTGGCAACATGGAGGTATATCTTTCAAACTGTTACAAGTCTTACCTGTGAGGGAGAAGACATGGAAGGACCTTAGATGGAAGTGGCCTATTCTAACCTGATAGTGATAGAATCCACTGATACCATTTTGTTCAAGACAAAAGTACATATGCAAGGAATAGCTCATTAAAAAATGCTCCATTTTCACATTATTTCAAACTTTTATCGGTAGAATGGCTCTGCACATCAGTTTCACTAAGAGTACAGAAACGTAGGAAAATAGTCCCCCAAAAGATGCATTTATGAGCCTATATTTTTCAACATAAAGTGCTAAGAGATGAATAAGGAGGGCTGGGAATGTCTTGAGCTGTAAATCTTGAGACCTCCACATCATGGATGGTCCTGGAGTTCAGCATTCTGATTTTTTCTTAGGTTCAGCATGATCATCCAAGGTGGTTGGAAGCTTGTTGGGACCGTCTGGTGTCTCACCTGTGACAGCTAAAAAGATGATTTTCAGCCACTTCTGTTTCAGTTCCTCACTGTCTGCAGCAAAGCTGTGCACAGACTTGGACTGGGTCAGTTTGAAACTGTGGGGCAGGTCTGCACTCTTTGGCAGATCGTCCACAACATAGCCGAGGAGTGGAATGGTGGCCTGGGCTCGGACATCCTAAGGAAAAAACATGGTACACAGGAACGTAAGATGTATTAGCTTGCTATCCGTGGCCCTTTGTGATCTGGCTCCCACTAAACCTCTTTCTGTACCACTGTTCCACACAGACTCGTGCTGTTAGCTCTCCGTGGACAGAGCCTGTGATCCAGTCCTTAGCAAACCGCCCAGACGTGAGGTCACTGAAAATGTAGGCTGAATGAATGAATGAATGAATGAGAGCAGACACCTAAATCAGCTAGGATTCACTGACCCTACATCCCACACCCTCTCTGTGAGGGAGTCCATTCAGCTCTTCATTCAGATGAAAAGGGGAAAGAATAATAGTTATCTTACTGTATAAAACCAGCAAATGTTAATGATGATTTGATTACCAAACACAGTTTTATTTGGTGATCCATTCATTTGTGCATCAATGTATGGACATGAAAAGGGTATAGGAAAAACAATGAAATAGAAGACAATATATACCTTGGTATTTTAAGTTTATTTTTTTAAAAGATTTTATTTATTTATTTGACAGACAGACAGAGCATGACAGAGCACGCACATGCACAGCAGGGGCAGAGGGAGAGGGAGAAGCATGCTCCCCACTGAGGAGGGAGCCTGACATGGGGCTAGATCCCAGGACCCTGGGATCATGACCTGAGCCAAAGGTAGATGCTTAACTGACTGAGCCAGCCAGGCACCCCTTAAGTTTATTTCTAAAATAAAATTTTACCTGCCCTTAATGTAGATATAGGCTAAAATACAACAGGTACATTTAAGATTTTATCTATTTCCAGGTGAACGCAGGTGTTTTTCAAGCACAACACAACCCACAGTGCCTGGTGCTGGCTAGAAGCTAAACCTGCATGTCTGTTGCTCCCATAGATTTAGCTCAGATCCATGCATACATGGTTCTCAAAAACTTGTTACTGGACAATGAAAATCTGAGGTTGACTTAAATTCCTTCCTCTCAAATTCCTTTTTTTTTCAGGTATCCATCCATTCAGGAAAAAAAACCCCAAACCTGTAGTAATTATTTCCCTTCATCAAACAGCCTCCTTCTCTTCCTTGCATCTCCCTCTGCTTCACCACTGCTTCCCATGCCCCTTCCTAATCCAACTCATCCTTTCTCAAATCACTGAATAGGAATAAGAGGAGGGGAGAAGGCACATGATGCACAGGATGAAGAAACTATGGGCTATATCTAAAAAAAACCCAACAGTTAAAAAAATAAAAATCAGTTTAAATAAACTTGAATTTTAGTTACTAATTATTTTTCAATTGTAATGAAAGACAATGCAACTGTCTGAGCTCTCTCGTTCTGTTGAGGAGAAATGGAAGGATTTTGAGTTCAGTGTCTATTCGCCTCCCCCTGCCCCAGGACCTCCATCTCTTCAGAAAGATACAGTTTAGATACCTGGGGGGCACCGTACATGTACAGCACAAGAGGGTCTTGTTTGGGGATCACACACCAAGCTTTCTGCCAAGGTTTTGACTTTTCCATATAATGAAGAAAGCTGCACACTATGCTGTTTCCAGATACTTCTGCTGATTCAATCTAGAAAAATATAATGGAAAGAGAGTGAGCGAGAGAAAACACAAAATGAACCAGGTAGAGAAGTAATTCACCTTAAGGAAATATTCATAAAGTACAATATATTCACATAAAATGTCTCCTGGGAATGTCCAAAAAGGGTTCATTGGCAATGATTATTTAAATACTCATCCCTTTCATGAGCAAGGGAAAATATTTTTTAAAAGATTTTATTTATATTTTTGAGAGAGAGTGAGAGCAAGAGACAGAGAGCACACATGCACAAACAGGGTGAGGGGCAGAGGGAGAAGGAGACTCCCCACTGAGCAGGGAGCCCAATGCGGGGCTCGATCCCCGGGCCCTGGGATCATGACCTGAGCTGAAGGCAGATGTTAACTGACTGAGACACCCAGGTGTCCCACAAGGGAAAATATTTAAGTGAATTTTAATTCTTTGTATTACCAGACCTCAAATTTAAATAAAGTTAAACATTTACTGACTGCTTGCTATGCAGGTGCTTTTCTTAGTCCACTACGTGTATCATTTCATTTAATCCTCATACCAACACTAAGAAGATACCACTTTCATTATCTATGAGGTTCAGAGATGAAGTAACTTTCCCAGAGCACACATTTAGGAACCTGCGAGCTAGGCATTTGGGTCTGGATCCAGAGCCTGACCTTTTAACCACAATCCTGTACCAGCTTCAACTGCGTAACAGTGCAATAGCAAAAAGGCAAATACTGACCAGCTATCTTTGTCCTGGAACCTGAGATAATTTAAAAGTTTTTAAAATGGCAACAGCTACTTTCCAGACCCATTTACAGTTTTCTGCTTTGTCTCCTGATATATATATCTCTGGTTAAAAAGGGAATAAAACCATTTGATTAAATGATAGATTTTATTATACACATTATGGGAAGCGAGTGGTTTCCTTCTATTTTCAATTGCTCTAATCCTTAGGGTAGTGCTACTCAATGCCATCCACCAAATAGTGCTGGTTCAGACTCTTTTGCTACCCATTCAAGATAAAGCTCAGAAAGTAAGAGTAAGCACTTAGAAACTTTTAGAGCAATTGGACTTTGTGATGACATGCAAGCAACGTGATTATGTTACAAAAATATTGAGCTGTGGTGGTTTGGAAATAAAACTGGCCCTTCATCACAGATCGTTTAAGAAGCACTGGCTGGCAAACTAGGGCCCACCAGCCCACCACCTGTTTTTGTATGGCCTATGAGCTAAGAATAGTTCTTATAGATGAACATTTAAAATCAATTTGATGACAGTGAACACTAACTCTGGACTCCAATTAAATAAATTGCTACCTCCCCTACCCACAAAGAATTCCAGTCTTATTGCCATATCATAAAATATTATACTAAGTTATTACTCAATTTTGAATTTTTCTAAAAAACTGTGAAAATGTTTTCTTTCTTGTTTAGAAGTAATATTCTCAGTTTTTTCTCTTGGCCTGCAAAGACTAAAATAGTTTCTCTCAGAAACTTCTACCGGAAAAGTTTGTTGACTTCTGGTCTAAAGCACATAACAAACTCGTTGGCATGAAGCCAGTTTCAAATATGTGTGTATTTGTGTGTGCAGGTGCACATATATATATTATCTTCTACTGATGGACCTCACATGATATATTTATTTGATTAAATATGTTAACCTGGTAACTTGTCCCCCAAGTATAGGCTTTTTGAGAAACTATCTAGAGTTTTTTTTTTTAATTTCATAGATACAGCCTGAAATTCATCCCTTAACACAAGTTATCTGACTCACTGTATTATGCCAGTTTTGTCAGTTATTGTGTTTAAGTCTTGAGGCCAATGCAATGTGCCTCCACCTTGCCTGCCAGAGAAAGCCCCATTTTGGTCTGCCTACAAGCAACATCTGTACCCTAGAAGAATTCAGAGTTATACTTTTAGCTTGTCAGCCTATACTTTAACTTTCAATGGACACTCAAGTTTAGGATTCTTTTTCAGTTAACAGAAATGACCTTTGTATGCTTACACTGTATAGATGCAAAATGAATGCTTATTGATTCTTAATAAACCATGGAAATTCTTAATAAACCAAGTACGTCTCTGACTTTAGATACATAGAATTCTGATCATGAGCCTATTTTTCACAGACTTTCCAGGCTATGTTGAACTTTCTGCCACAAAGGCCTTATTACATAATTTATTCCTTATGTTAATGTCTTTTGAGTGTAAAACTCATTTCAGATACATGCTGCATTATAGTTCCCAGGATTGATTGGGAGGTTCTGACTTTAGTCTAAAAACATGAGTCGAATTCATTTGCAAGACATTTCAATAATATTTCAATGCAGTTACCAGCTTACTGTCACTGGCTATTAAATGATGCTTTTAATGCAATAAGTTGGTAGACATTCTCAGGTAATAAATACTTTAATACGAATTTTAATAATTTCAAACAGTGGTTTTTGAAGCCAATATGATAAAATTGACAGAAAAGCTTTCCTATTAAAAAATATACTATAAGTCGGGCACTAGAAGAGACAATTAATACTCTAATATTTGACTATAGCCACCTTCACAAAACCAACATTTCACTCTCAAATGCATGTGATTAAAATACAGCACTTGTCCCTCTTCTTCCTATACAACTGAATATGATCCCCAAATTCAGCAGGATAGGACAAAAGTATGAATCTTGCTTGTTCTTCAAATTGTTAAATATTAAGAGAAATAACAAAATATGCTATTTGTATTCTTCAGGGTTAAAAGACAATTCTACATTCCTTGCATAAAAATTGAAAAGTTATCAAACATTTAGTATTCCATACCTCTAAAATTCCTTTTCTTTTTTTTTCTTCACTGTCTGTGAATCCGCTTATTATTTGATAACAGTCTTTACAAACTTTGTTTAATTTTCCACCATCGTACTCAAGTTGAGCTTTGTAATCAGAACACTTCCAACAAACCACCTTAAATTAAAAAAAAAAAGAAGAGTGAATAATCATAAAGATTTGAGCAATAATCACTTATAGTAATAATAAATAAGAAAGAGTTAAATATTTAACACAAGTATATACTAGACTAAGAATACCCTATGAACGTTAGGAGTATATATCATGGTATTATAGTGCTGTTGGTGATGGGCTCTCCTTGTTCACCCTTTGTCTTCCTCACTCTAATGGCAGAAGATCTTCAAAGGCTTGCTTGGTCCTTTGAAGGACTTTTACCCTTCATTCTTCTGGATGTTTCGTCAATATACTCCCCAAATGAACTAATGATTTTGATCTTCCCTGCCCTCAGATCTCTCCTGACTCACCCCACCCCTCCCAACCCATTCCCTTCTGTGCTCCCTATTGCAGAAAATAGCACAGCCATCTAACCAGTCAAGGCAAGTCAGAAACCTAGGAGTCATCAACACCTCCCTCTACTTCGCCCCATAGAGTCACCATATTACAAAGTCCTGCTGATTTTATTTCCTAGATATTTTTTCAATCTATTTTTCTACATCTTCCTTCCAAGTCCAAGCTACCAATGTCGTAATTTGGAGTATTACAGTCTCATGACTGGTCCTTGTAGCATGCTTACTGGAATTCTTACTGGAGCATTCTCTAGCCTCTATTTTTACATCCCTCCAAGCTATTTTCCAAACAGCACCAGATGCTGTCTTAAACATGCTAATCTGATAGGTTTCCTCTATTTAAAATCCTTACAGTTTTCCCTTTGTTCTTGGATAAAGAGCAGATTCTTCCCCATGGCCTACAACGTGCTTTATGATCTGCCCTTCTTGCTCTCTGTAACCCCTGTGACACTGGCTTCTTAGAGCCCCTGAAATGTCTCTCATCTCTGCTTCAGTGAATTAACTCTTGTTCATCCTTCAGATGTTGACTCAAATCTCACTTCAAGGAAGCTTTCTCCAACTTCCAGAATAGAGCACCGTCTCTTGTCACCATGCTACTGAAGTTCCCTTACTTTTCTCGATGCACTGATTAGTTTTTAATCATATATTTGTGTGATTATTCACTGTTTATGTTTGTAAACCTCCTTGTATATTTTGCTCATAAGGCACCCAATGAACATTTACAGAATGCCAATAAATGAATGAGTACAATGCAAATGCATGTTACTTCTTAGTGAATAGTATTTTTTTCTGATTATTATAGGATAATTGTTAGAAAAAAACCTTCGAGTTTAAAAAAATTATCTTCTTGGCCATAGCAACTTCTTACTAGATGTCTCCTGAGGCAAAGGAAACAAAGGCAAAAATAAACCTTTGGGACTTCATCAAAATAAAAACCTTATGCACAGTGAAGGAAACAATCAAAAAAACTAAAGGCAACTGACTGAATGGGAGAAGATATTTGCAAATGACTTATCTGTTAAAGGATTCGTATCCAAAATGTATAAAACTTCTAAAACTCAACACCCAAAAAACGAATAATCCAGTTAAAAAATGGGCAGAAGACATGAATAGACATTTTTCCAAAGAAGACATACAGATGGCCAACAGACACATGAAAAGATGCTCAACATCACTCATCATCAGGGAAATGCAAATCAAAACCATAATGAGATACCACCTCACACCTGTCAGGATGGCTAAAAGTCAGAGAAAGACAAATACCATATGATTTCACTCATATGTGGAATTTAAGAAAAAAAAAAAAATGAACATAGGGAAAAAAAGAGAGAGGGTCACACCAAGAAACGGACTCTTAACTATAGAGAACAAACTGATCATTACCAGAGGGGGAGTGGGGAGGGTACTAAATAGGTGCTGGGGATTAAGGAGGGCACGTTCTGTAATGAACACTGGGTGTTATATGTAAGTGATGAATCACTATATTATGCACCTGAAACTAATACTATACTGTATATTAACTGGAATTTAAATAAAATCTGTAAAAAAAAAAAAATTATCTTCTTGCTTCTAGAAGCATATTTTTCCTAATTTGTAGTAAACTGTTTATGAACATAAAAATATTAGTAAAACTTTTAGTTTAGATTCACAGCATGTAAATTCATGATATAGAACTATTCATTGTTTTCTCATAATTACAGTGAAATTACTGTAGGATTTGGAACTAGACACGCCTGCATCTGCACATTCATATCAGCTACTATCTTATTTATTTCGAGTCATATTCTTGTATTTTGGTAATCAACATTCAAATACATTTTTGTTTGTTTACTGAACGTAAGTCTATCAGTCAATACCTGAAATCATCTCAAGCAAACTCAATGACAGATCAAGAAGTCTTACCCTGGGGGGGAAGAAAGTTATTTGCTATCAACTTGAATTTTTTTTTTTTTTAAAGATTTTATTTATGTATTTGACAGAGAGAGACACAGCGAGAGAGGGAACACAAGCATGGGGAGTGGGAGAGGGAGAAGCAGGCTTCCTGCCGAGCAGGGATCCCGATGTGGAGCTCGATCCCAGGACTGGAATCATGATCTGAGCCGAAGGCAGACACTTAACGACTGAGCCACCCAGGTGCCCCTATCAACTTGAATTTGGTTTTTTTTTTTATCAACTTGAATTTGATCACAAAACTGTTTCACTGAGAGAAAACTCAGGACAAAAATGGAAGAATAAATCTGCTGTAAGAGAATAATCTAAAAGAACTCTCAATACGAATTGTTTTGCACTTTAGCATACTAATAATATATTAAATCACAGTATTACAATGCCTACCCTTCTCTGTTTACTCATTGCTTTTTAGAAGAAAGTATATCATCTTCAACTTGGTTTACAAGGCCATCCAAAATCTGCTGTTCTCTCTCTCCTGCTTCATTTCATGCCTTGTTCCTCCTCACGCTTTCTATATGAAACAACTCAAATTGCTGAAAACCTGTCACCTGCTTTCTCTGGCCAGAGGTGTTGAATTTTGTGAGAACAATCCTTGCCAGTAAATGGACTGTGGTCCCTTTACATGCATAACCATAAACCTCTAATGGGCACAGAGCAGTCCACACCTGCTCCTTGGGGAGGCTCACTCCCCTGGCCCAGAGACAACTATTTCATACTGAGCCGTCTTTCTTGACTTTCCCCATCTCTCCACCCCTTCCCCCTTTTCTTTCAGCTGATGACTCTTCCTCATACTTCAATGACAACATAGTTATCATCATACCGAAAATTTCCTACCACAAAATCAAAAACACACCCACATTTGCACCCATCATTTCCTTTTTCCTTTTTGTTATAATGGAGGGAAGTTTCCCTCTCCCATCAGAAGCCTGAACTTCCACTTATGCTATATACATTCCATCTCTAGTCTTCTCAAGGACATCAACTCTTTTGGTTACTATTTACCTCTATTTCTTATGCCACAGTTCCACTTACTCATTGGGCTCCTGCCTCATGACCTCTGGCATCTCAAGAGCAGACCCAACTTTCTCCTATCTCAGGGCTTCTGACATACAGAGCCACTGAACACCTTTCTCACCTCCCTTGGCATGGTTAGCTCTTTCTCACCCTTTAGGCACCAGCTTAAATATCAACCCTTCAGATAGGTCTTCATTTTTCTTTTCTTTCTTCTTTTATTTTAACTAGGGGGAGAGAGAGGGGGAGGGGCAGAGGGAGAGGAAGAGAGAATCTTAAGCAGGCTCCACGCCCAGCATGGAGCCTGACATGGGGCTCTATCCCGCAACCCTGAGATTATGACCTGAGCCAAAATCAAGAGTTGGACGCTTAACTGACTGAGCCACCCAGGCGCCCCAGGGCTTCATTTTTCTAAGTAAAATTGGTTTCAAGTCCTCCTCCATTAACATTATTCTCCATTCTAACTTCTTCATTGCCTCCTTATTGTTTTTATAGTAATTTGAAATGTTTATTTGTCTGTATACTTGACTTTGGTTATTTTCTCCATTAGAATGTAAGCTATGTGAAGAAGGGTATCATTTTGCTTACCATTTTTTCTCCAGGACCCAGCAGCACAGTGCTTTGCACATAGCTGTCATCAAAATTAAGTTTATTAATTAGGTGGTTTATTTATTGAATGATTTTTCTTTTTTTTGCCTTTTCAAACTTGATGATTATACAACACTTATCTAGTTACTAGCAACCTTCATGATCATTAAGAAATCTCACTTACATGTCCACATGCTCGACAATGATGCCTTCTTCTTGTCAGTGCATTGAAAGATTCTTTGCATTTCATACACATCGTTACTTCATTATCTCGGATCCATCTTGGAGCTCTTTTCCCCAGCTCAGCAGTCTAAAAAGGATTCAATTTTAATAGAAAAAAACTGTCATTTCCATCTCTTTATTTACTTACTTATTAAAAAGCATTTTGACAACACTGCTCATATCATGCTTTGAAACTCATGACCTAGAAAAAGAAATAAAAGGTTTAAAGAAGTTTAAGCAGGATAAAAAGGCACTCACTATTGTATTCATGTAAGAATGAGATTTTGTCTAAATAGCCAGTTCCAGCATTGCAAAGAGAAAAGGCAAGATAAGAAAATGATTAGACAGATCTGCAACTGCAAAGAGAAAAGAATTTATTTCAACTTACAGAAACCTCTGAGTGCATGTCATTGTCCTTTGCAATTGCATTTCTGAAGGTTTCATGCCTCTGATGGAAAGCATCAATGGTCTCTTGAAGAGCCTAAAATATAAATGAGATTCAAAGCATACATTAAAATATCACATGCAAATTAATGAAAATGCTTCATCAAACAAACATCTATGATGAAAGAATGATCTTAAAAATTAAATGACCTTGTTCTGATGACAATATGTGTACACTATTATATGTGCATGTTTGTGTACACATACAAAGTTTACCAAAAAACAAAAATAAAAAATAGAAATATGGTTTACCTTGATCCATTCTTCTTTGTCTTGCTCAGAACTAAAACAAAACAAAATTCAAGTGAATACGAACATTAACGAGTTACACCTCATGAATAAAACTATGCTTTAATGTTGTTCCAACTTTCTGGAAAATCCAAGGATGTCTAGGAAGGAGTTACAATAAAAATTAAACAGAATTGCTGGCAATTGAACAAATACTTTTTTTTTTTTAAGAAAGCGGGGGAAGGGTAGAGGGGGAAAGAGAATCTTAAGCAGCATCCACACCCAGTGTGGAGCCTGACTCGGGGCTCAGTCTCTCAACCCTGAGATCAGGACCTGAGCTGAAATCAAGAGTCAGATGCTTAACCAACTGAGCTACCTGGGCACCCCTGAACAAATAAATTCTTAAACAGAGTTTTTTTTTTTTAATTTTTAAAAAAGATTTTATTTATTCATTTGAGAGCAAGCGAGCGAGCACAGGGGAGTGGGAGAGGGAGAAGCAGACTCCCCGCTGAGCAGAAAGCCTGATCTGGGGCTCAATCCCAGGACCTGGAGATCATGACCTGAGAAGGAAGGTAGATGCTTAACCACCTGAGCCACCCAGGAGCCCCTTAAACATAATGTTTTAGACCATCCACTTTAGTACACATAACTTTAGACTGGGAGAGTTATATTTAGCTTCCATTAATATATTGCCCTGATGTTAAGTTTAACAACCATCATCTAGCTCAATATATTAGGTAAATAGGTAAATGCAAATTTAGCATTGTACCAGATATACAACTAGTCTTCCAATTCACCTTGGAAGAAAACACAGGAGGCTTTCGAAGGCTACTAGTCACAACCCATCTTAGAAAAGATTACAATTATCCCCTAGAATCTAAAATATCTTTGTAAGGCCTTAGGGGGCTATTTAACATTTCTTTGATAAACAATTTTGCTAGAAAGCTTTGGGCAATACCGTACTTAACCTATTACAGATAAAGCAAAGCAAACATTTTAGATGCTTGTAGGAAGGAAGTTTCACTCTAGTCAAGTCTTCTACTTTCCTACTGAGGCAAATTTTCTTTATTTCATCTCCCATGCAGGTAGCTTATATAGCGGGCTGCTGTCACAGTGTATATTAGAAAAGTCCCCTTCAGAGCTATATCTCCAACCTGGAGAATTTTGAAGAATGCCAGAAGAGTGGGCTCTGTTTGCATGTGTTTGGTAGGCTAGGGCTAAGTTTGAGTTCCAGCCTGAGCGTTGCATGCCTCGCTCCCACAGGTATCACACATGTGTGTGTGTGATCACACAGGAGCTCTGCTCCTGTGACATCATCCATCTTTCCAGCAGATTTGTTCTTGAGCATCATGATGTGCCAAGAATGCTGCTGGAGTCTGTGCCACCAAATGGAAGATTCTGCTTATTGTTCACCTGGGGATCCTTGGAACAAGAGCCTTAGTGGCGGGGGGGGGGGGGGGGGGGAGGTTTCAACCTTGCCCCTCAAAAGAGATTTCTCTCTACTGCAGTGCCCTGCCTGGATAAAACAGTTCCATTGCTCTGGAATCACAGTTATTTCCTAGCTGCTTCTAGTCTTTTAAATGCAAACAAACTTGACAAGACTTTAATGCTTTTTGTTTTACTTTCTCAAGTCATGGCAGAATTTTTACTCCTCTAATTTACTTATTACTATGGGTTTTTTTAAATTCATTTAGCAATATAAAGCCATTACATAAAAAGTATACAAGACAGAATGCTTAATATTCTTTTAAATACAAAAGAGGAAGCAGAGTGTAAGAGGTCAGTCTTCAGGCTGACTCATTTAGCAAGAAAAGCAGAACGCATTTTTTTTCCAGGTGGCTTCTGAAGTGAATGATCTTTAAACATCTCCAAATATATACCCAACTTTGGGCTCCGTGTAATCCCTGTAACACTCTGATGTTCTGAGACTTTCAATGTTTGTCCTTATTCTAGAAAGAATCATAGACTAGATGAAAAGTAATCACTTAATTCAGCTCTTCAATTCACCATATAATCATAAGTATAACTATAGCAATGAGATTAAGGGAATAAGAAATTTAAGGAAAAATGACTGTGTTTTCGGTATCAATTGAAATGTATCCAATCCTGCATATTGGAACTTTACAAAGTGATTATTGCCTGTACTTAAGAAAATTCCTCATGCATCAGCCCTATCCTGAAGAGAAAATAGGCCAACCTGCTAATGCACAGCTGGGGTTTCCATTTTGGCAACCCCCCAAACCTTGATAATCTCTCTTTTGCTGTTTCAACACCTCTCTCAGGTTTGCAGATTTGGAAGTATGCTGGATTTCACAGTAGCAATGTCTTCATTCTTCTGCCATGAAGACTTCTCTGATGGTCAGAACTATTGATGAGTCCTCCCTGTTGCCAGAACCAATCGCTCAGTGAGTCAAGCACTGAGGACTCAGGTCAGGAGCCTCTGAGCACAGCATAATACATTCTTCCTTCAGTTTGGTGGTTGGGGCCAAATTTCACCATGAGGTAGGAAAGCCATGCCATTCAAAGCTAAGTCCTCTACACTTTTAACTTATGCTTGAAATGCCACCTTCTAATCCATAGGAGCAGTCGCCTGGCAGCTCCCTAAGTAATGGCAGGTTCAGTATAGATTTTCTGTGGGAAATCAAAGGGCTACTTCTTCAAAATGTACCAGCCCTATCTCCCTTAACTGTAATTTCACCAATTCCCTAATTCCCTGGGCACAGATTCCTGCTAAAATGAATTATTCTCTTTTAAAAGTCTGAACTTCAAACTTTTATACAGTTACTAAGTACAAATATCCAGGATGAATTCATCTGAGCCAGCCAGAACCATATGCTATTGGTGCAAGCAAACAAAAAGGAACAGAACTGCTCTCTGAGTCTCCAGATTCTAGGGTATCAGAACCATCAGAGTCAAGACTGGTACCTAAACCCTCTGATCTGTGACCTTCTGAAGGTTCCCATATTTCACGATACGCCTTTGTAGGATAAATGGAAGACAGTCTTCTAAGGTAGATATTTCAAAACCTGACAGCACTCTATTTTCCAGAGGTTCACACACGAGGTAGCTATGAGCCACTGTAGTGGTTCTCACAGTTTTTTTCTTTCCACTGTTATGTTAAGCAGAGGGATGCCAGAACCCCAGCACTTCTTTCCAACTCAACAAAGCTTATAAAGAACCACCTCTTCCAGAAGTCCTGGTTTCTAGAGGCTACTATAACCCCAAATGGCTGCCTTCCTGTATCCTCCAACTGTGGCAGAATCATTACCTTTTCTACTCTGCCGCCTCTGAAAATCCTCTCCATCAAAGTGGCAGTAAGTCACATGAATGCAGAGCCACTGAAGGACTGACAGTTAATGCTTCAACATTTAGCATGGGATAGAAAGCATCAATAAACATTGTGCACCAAAAGGAAGGGTGGAGGGAGGAAGGGTTAGGGAGAACCCTTTCGTACAAGGCTCAAAACTCTGGCTTGAACACAACCACTTCATTCTCTGAGCACCTTGCAAATCTGAAGAGTAAATTTAATCTACTGAATTCTTACTATCTGAAAACTACTCTCTAGGCACTATGAAGGAATCAAAAAGGATAACATAATTCCTGCCTTCTAAGAGATTCTGTTTCTTATGTCCAACCAGATTCCCAGAGGTCTATAGTATTCACTTGGGAAAGATCCTCAGAATTATTCTGTCCTACAACTCATTCTGATGCTTTCGTAAAGCTGTGTGATAGGAAGGCTTCTCTCACCTGGCTTGCAGTTCCAATGTTCTCTCTTTTCCAGATACCTGGAAAGTATGTGGATATTCTTCATTGTGAGTCTCCACAATTTTCATTCCATCGATGCCAACCCTGGTTCGAACTGTGAATTTAGAGCCCACCAAGCTGAATCTTGGTACACAGTACAGCAACATGTTGTTAAACTGCAAGGACACAGAGCACACATCAGTAAACAGGAAAACAAAGAAGAAAGAAGGAAGCGACCAGTATTACAAGTAGTCCTAGACAAAAATTCCAAGGAATTCCCAGGGAATATCATACCCCCTATGTGAGCAAGATTATTTAAATACTATATTGAGATTTTTATGCTTGTATCAGAATTACCTTACTGTAACACTTATATTTCCCTTTATTGGTTCATAATATTTGATACTTAAGTAAACCAATTATCATTTTGTACTATGAAGAAAATTAGTTCAATTAAAATTGTTCAGCAACAATTTATTAAGGACTTTTCATATACCAGGAATTGAAGTTCTTAACCATATAAGCTGAAGCCCTTAGGCAAGAAAATTTCTAATTGTTGTGTCTTACAAAGCAAGTCTTCAATAGCTAGTAGAGGAAATGAGTATTATTTAACAATTATTTTTGCCAGTGTGTTTAGTATTAAGTTTAAAAAAAAAATCAAGTTATTAGTTTAGAACATGTGGGGTTAGCACATTAAACCCTTTGTAATAAACTAAGTTACTGTTTTTTATTGGCCTATATCTTAAGAATTTGTCATGTATGGATAGAAAAGTCATCTATTGGGGTGCCTGGGTGGCTCAGTCGTTAAGTGTCTGCCTTCGGCTCGGGTCATGATCCCAGGGTCCCGGGATCGAGCCCCGCATCGGACTCCCTGCTCGGCGGGGAGCCTGCTTCTCCCTCTCCACTGCCCCTGCTTGTGTTCCCTCTCTCGATGTGTCTCTGTCCAATAAATAAAATCTTTAAAAAAAAATGAATAAAAAGTCATCTATTTTAGCAAAAAGTTTTTAAAGATCTTCTTTACCAGATTTTCTTTTAAAATGAAGGACTTTATTTTGAAACTGAATCAAATAATGTATCACGCCCCCTTTCTAGCCAACAATGAACAACCCCTGCTAGTCAGAACCAAACAGTAAGTTTGGGAAGACATTTAATTCACTTTTGAACACACTGAAACATACAAAAGGAGGAAAGGCTAAATACTTAGGTTAATTTGTAGGCGGATTCCTAAAGAAGGTCCATACTTATCTTCTTCCTCCTTCATATTTATTGTTTCTGACACTGCTTCTAGAGTTACATATATTTTTCAAAGACAAGAATAACTGGAGACTTAAACTCTGTGCACTATGTAACCTCTCATGTCTCAGGATTATTATCTATAAAAGTCACTGGTTCTTCAGAGAATTAAATCCAGAAAAATGTCCTATTCTGCCAGATTCTGTTTGGCTCCACAGAGCCATCAAGAAGAGAGATGTGGATGGACTTTTAAAACATTTCCACCGGTGGGCGCCTGGGTGGCTCAGTTGGTTAAGCGACTGCCTTCGGCTCAGATCATGATCCTGGAGTCCCTGGATCGAGTCTCGCATCGGGCTCCCTGCTCGGCAGGGAGCCTGCTTCTGCCTCTGACCCTCCCCCCTCTCATGTGCTCTCTCTCTCTCATTCTCTCTGTCTCAAATAAATAAATAAATAAATAATCTTAAAAAAACCCCAAACATTTCCACCGGTTTATGTGACACTGCCCATTGTACTCATTCTGAAAGCAAATTTCTTATCAGTTCCTTGTACGTTATTTTGCAAGTTCCTGTAACCAGTGTTAAAATTTCATTTCCACACTGGATACCGTAGAAATAAAAGGGTAATAAATACACTTTAGCATTTCACATTTACATTTCTAGAAGAGAACCCTAAAGACCTATCATCAACTGTCCACTGCGTTCTAAGTGTGGCCATCTCCAGCCTCACTGCAGTACATAGGATTCAGGGATTTGAAAACACTCTGAAAGGCTCTCATCACCATCCCAGTTTGCTTAAGGCAACAGCTTGCTGCTAACTGTTCCTGTTAACATTTTTTTCCTATCTTGTATGAAGGCCTTCTCAGAAGGGGATTTGGTCAAGGCCAACCAATATGCACAAGGCTCAACTTTCTTTCTTTTTTAAAGATTTATTTATTTGACAGGGGGAGAGAGCGAGCGAGCACGTGCGAGCAGGGGCAGAGGCAGAGAGAATCCCAAACAGGCTCCATGCCCATCACGGAGCCTGACGTGGGGCTCAATCTCATGACCCTGAGATCATGACCTGAGCTGAAATCAAGAGTTGGACACTTAACTGACTGAGCCACCCAGGTGCCACAAGGCTCAACTTTCAAGATGGCAACCACCACCTCATGTTTCTGCAAACTGAGTGACAAATGTAATGTTATAGCATAAAATTTCTGAGTTATCTGATACTTGTACTTAAGTTCACTTTATAAAATTCAGCAAAGTCTTGTTATTTTATAGAAACATAGTCCATGAATATGGAAGTTCTAGGCATTTGTTTTTCGTGGTGACACTCACACAAGATGACAGACTACCTTATAAATGATATGTTTCTCTTCCCATTTTATGCTTGCAGGATTATGCTTCCCCAATTACAGATGCTTCCTAAGCGGGACTTTACACTCTAAACACTCAATAACTATTTATTAACCTTATATAATTCATATCATAATCTACTGCAAATCAATAAATACCATTTTTCTTCTTCCTAGGGGTCAAAGTAAGAGCACAAGGATATAAAATATTGTTTACAAAGCAGTAGATGCCTTCTGTTCCCTCTGTGAACCTTGCTCCTGGGGCAAAAGCCACCATCACCTTCCGTGTGGGTTTCCGCCGGTGCTCAAAGAGGAAGTCAGAACAACTGCACGACCAAGTAGATGGCTTTCCCTTTCAGTGCGGGAGATGGCTTTTTATCCATGGCCAGAAGTAGTTACAGACATGTGATCTCTGGCTGATGGAGCAAGCTCTGAAAGTGCTAAGCTAGAAGCTAGCCCCGATTTTATTAAAAGCACAGGGGGAGTCCCCCTTCCTGATCTCCAGTGGTCCTCAATTACTTATTTCAAGGGTCTTGAAATATTTGAGTGAAACAATTCAATGTCATGTTTCACCAGAGACAATTTCATTAAAGTTTTTTTAAAGTTTGTAAAAGTACATGGTTGGAGAAAACTTCCACTGCCTGCTCTGTATTCAAAGTTTAAATGAGTCAAGGGGGAAAAAACTGAAATCTGTCAAGCTATAAGGAAATAAAGACGAGAACAACAAAGGGCCAAGAATAAAATCTCTTGGGTCATTCTACAGGATAATTTGGGGATTTTTTTTAAACTTTCAGATGTCAGGTGTGGTTATTTAATTTAGTCAACAGAGTATCCTGCAGTAATTGAAAAAAGCATGGTGTGGAGGCAAGCAAATGAGCAAACACGTGAAGGTCAGCTCAAGGTTGAAATCAGATTCTACATGCAATTTGGCTTTTTAGAGAAATGTAAGATCACCAGAGTAGGATACAGAAAACTAGCCCTCGTTTTGTTCCTAGAGACAGAGAAAAATAAAAACGGTACTTCTGAAGTTTCTATATACAAAAAACCAAGATGCTCTATCGGAAGAAAAGCGTGTTGTGAAGAGAGCGTGTGACAAGGACAGTGCAGGGGGTGGAGGTGGGAGGCGTGCGGGGATTACTAGAATGGACCTACAGAAATGCTTCTAAGATGGTCTTCACAAGACGAATGTGGCTTTCCGGTAACTGCTGCTCTAGGACTCTGTTCTCCCGGGAGGCAATGGCAAGAGAGGTTTGATAGCTCATAATAACTGGAACAAGATGGGTCCTTTCTTCAAAGTCACTATGGTTGTATTCCCCCAAGGCTATTTGCCATCTGTCCTCCAAATAGCTACTTAATTTGGCTCTGCAACAAGGTGTTCAACCTTAAACTATTTCCAGAATAATTCTCAAATGTCAAAATTAAACCCAGGCAATTGGTTAAGACAGAGCTAAGAGCTTAACTACTGAAACTATAATATAATCCAGAAGAGGGGAAAGGAGCACTACCTAAGCACCTAAAGGAAGGGTAAAAGCAAAGGGAAGACATTAACTCCTACGCATTTTGCCCAAAATAGTATATTAAGTATGTCTTTTTAATCTGTATTTTTGATGCTTTGACATCTTGGGGCTTTGCTGACAATGGAGAGACTTGTCCCTCTTAGGGTTACCCATTTCCTATAAGTAGTAAATGACTCACCTGCAAGCATGCCTTTCATATGGAAAGCAACCCATCCAGAGCCCAACCCCCACTGCCTCCTTTCTTGAGCTCTTCCTGGGCCAGTATTCCCCTGCCCTACCCCTCAGGGCCAGGTACCAGACAACAGCCCCAGTATCCCAGAGCCTGATGGAATTATTTAAACTAGCAAATCCTAAACCTGTTTATGCTGCTTTGCCCATTCCTTCTCATTGAACCCACAATAAAGGCTCTTGCTCACATTTTCTGCTTGCTCCCTCTGCCCCTTATGGACCCTGCTGCTTTCTCAGGTAACCCCCATGGTATGGCATGTCTCTCCTTTTGGGAATCTGTGAGTATAACGATGTTTCTCATGGCAACTGTCTCCTGATCTGGTGGCCTCACCACACCTGAATAACAAAACCTGTATTTCAAATAAATAGACGTCTGAACCCTGACAGGACATCATAATCCTTGCTTTACATAACCTCTGAGAGGTGAAGTACTTTTGTTGAGCTCAAATGAAGATTTTTACAGTTATATGGACAACATCTATATATTTTTAAAAATTATCGAGACGTAATTCATATAACATAAAATTTACCCTTTTAAAATGTACAATTCGTGGTTTAATACAGTTGTAAATTGTGCAGTCATCATTACTTTCTAATTCCAGAACATTTCATGACTCCAAATGTAAACCCTCTGTCCATTTCCTCTTCCCCACCAGCCCCAGGCAACCACTACCTACATCCTGCCTCTCTGCATTTGCCTACTCTGGACATTGTATATAAATGAAATCATACAGTATGGGCTTTTGTGAATGGCTTCTTTCACTTGTCACAGTGTTTTCAAAGTTCATCCATGTAGCATGTACCAATATTTTCTTCTTTTTTATTGACCTATAACATTCCATTGCATAGATATACCACTATATCCATATGTCCAAATATTTTGCCTACTATGAATAATTCTGCTGTAAACATTCATAAACGTTTTGTGTAGACATATATTTTCAATTTTCTTTCTTTTTTTTTTTAAAGATTTTATTTATTTGACAGAGAGAGACACAGCGAGAGAGAGGGAACACAAGCAGCGGGAGTGGGAGAGGGAGAAGCAGGCTTCCTGCGGAGCAGGGAGCCCGATGCAGGGCTCGATCCCAGGACCCTGGGATCATGACCTGAGCCAAAGGCAGATGCTTAACGACTGAGCCACCCAGGTGCCCCATCAATTTTCTTGAGTTACACAAACTTGGGAGAACAGCTAGGTAATATGGTAACCAAATGTTCTTTTTGAAAAATGAGAGATACTGAACACCCCTATGCATGATATTTAGTCCCTGTAAGTTTTCCTTGGAGGCTGTAACCAGAAAATGAAAACCTATAAGCCCCCAGTTAAACTCATACTATGGCTGGTGGGAGGACTGCCTTGCAGCACAAAGTCAGCCTCATGACCAATGTGTCTCTGTTTCTGTGACTCTAATAACAATCCTGACAATAGCTAACATTTACTGAGCTATTACTCAGTGTTACCTTATTGTTACTCCATGTTAGCTATTACTGTGATTCTTATTATACCAATAGATACAGAAAGGAACTGGAATTAACAGAGACTAAAAACATAATGGCCTGGATGCCCCAGGAAAAGCTCTTACATTTGAGATAAGCCGCAGACTAAATGTCATTTCCAGGAAGTAAAGGAAGGGACAGGGACCAACTCCAGTGAAAAGGAACTACATGGCAAACTCACACACTTTTCAGAGATATTTTAGGCACAAACTTCACAACCTTGAGGATACATTTCCTCAAATTGGAAAGATCAAAAGTGGTGATCAGAGAGAACTAGGAAGAGAACTCTGGTCAGAAAGTGGTACCCATTAGCCTATAAGAACGAAAGGAAGAGTGAATCTGAAACAAGGAAAATTTGAGAAAACATATCATACTTCCCCCACACTGATAGCTATGATCATCATGGACAGGTTAAATTGTTTTCAGTTGTGTGTTACTAAGGTAACTGACACGTGTTAAGTACACAGAAAAATATTTTTTAAATACTTTAAGATTTGTGTCCTTGAAAGAACACGTTTTAGTTATGAAGGAATTTCCCCTAACAGTGTTGATTAAACCAGGTCGGACAGAATTGCTTTGGTGAGGAAGCAAGGATCCTACTTTTCCAAGATGCACAGAACAACATTTATGAATTATTCTTACGTGACCGGCTCACACTATAATACTCACTAAGAAAAGGTAGCGTTCTTGTGCTGATGTGTTCCGAGCAGCTAGTTTGAGGATCTGTCCCTCTTTTATTAGTTCATTTGAAGGATTTACAATGTCTTCTTCCTCTCCCAACATCTCATAAATCTCTAAGAGTTTCTTTAGGTTCTCCTAGGAAATTAAAACAAAACACAGCAAGACCAAATAAAGGGAGGTTTTACCTTAGTGGCTTTAATAATACCATGACCTTAGCTAAAATCTGGATAGTTCAGAAGGGACTGGGACTAAGCATAAATTTGGTATAAAATGTGTCAGTTATAAGCAAATTGAAACCTAGGAGAAGAGGGGAGAGGATTATTCCACATAACACTAAACATTTAATAAAGAATCTTTTTTGTTCACCAGTATCAATTTGTTTTTGTCCAAACCTGCAGATAATATTAGGTTATGTTACTGACATTATCTAACTAGAAGATTCCCATCTCCTTTGAAAAACACTTACCATTTTTCTTATTGCACTATTAGAATGGCTTGCTGCTGTAGATATAATTTCAAGTGATTCTAAATGGGAAAAAAGAAAATTAAATAAATGTGTTTTGTTTTTTCTATGCTACTAAAGAGCTGAATAACATATACTACAATAAGAAGAAATCCGAGACCACTGACCACATCTGACACCAAAAGCAGGGGCAATTTCCATTTACAAAACAGATACTTTAACAAGTTGATTTGTAAGCAGATTACTTGGAACATGAAGGACATTTCCCTGTAAATAAGTCATACACAACTATACAGATGACCTATATAATGAACCTTCAAAATTAACAAATACATGTACACTAAACTGGTACAAGGCACTTTGCCAGACACTTTCATATATATTATGTCACTTCATTCTTTTTTTTTTTTTTTTTAAGATTTTATTTATTTATTTGACAGAGAGAGGCACAACGAGAGAGGGAACACAAGCAGGGGGAGTGGGAGAGGGAGAAGCAGGCCTCCCGCCGAGCAGGGAGCCCGATGCAGGACTCGATCCCAGGACCCTGGGATCATGACCTGAGCCGAAGGCAGACGCCTAACGAATGAGCCACCCAGGCACCCCTATGTCGCTTCATTCTTACACAACCTCGAATGGAGAGTCCATGAGCCAGCTCCACTTGGCAGATGAAACAAATGGCAAGTGATGTGGCTTGGTTAAGGTCACACAACTATGATACTGTGGGGCCACACTGGGACACCTACATCTTCTGGTTCAAAGTTCTACAACATTTCAGCAGGAATACTGTTTTATGAGTTTTATGAGCAAATTAACCACCAAGCATAACCAAATTTCTTTGGGAAAACACACTCACAGTTCTAGTCTTGGTCAGGTGAGGGGGAATCCACTGATGCCAATGCTGATGGAAGGTTTTGTTGCTGAGCAGGTGGTGGGAGAGATGGGAATGGGAACCATCTGGTAAGGGCAAGGTAGGGGCTCCAGCACCGCTGGTGAAGAGCTGTGGAGGCTCAGGCCTCCTGCTGGATCAACCCCAGGGAATGCTCTCAATCCTAAATCATGACCTGCTCTTTCTTTTCTATCTTATGAATACTGGCCTGATTAATTCCGTTACCGCAACAACCTCATTACTTCTAGACCAAATACTCTGTCTTCTTTGTTCCATGGCTGAACAGAATGCACTTTTGTTGCGTCCTCCTCTACTTTGGGTCTCTAAAAGCACCTCTGTGATTTCCTTACAATTTTAGTTTAAGGAGCAGTGGGCAACCAAAGAGAGTAATAAAATACCCTACAGCGTTGTTAACCTTCTCATTGTTGACACGGCCAGCTTAGGGCAAGTCTAAGTCTTTGAGTATAGAAGAAACTGAATTTTTATTTAGACTTAGGAGGACTCTCCTGACGGGGGCAATTCTGTGCATTCCCTACAGGATCCAAGGTAGAGGGAGACAGAAATAAAATAACCTGGGATCAGCAGTTGGAGGAGTAGCAGTGGTGATCCCACCTTCAGTCCTACCACTAGTTCTGCCACCAAAACCAGCCATGCAGCCCAGATGAGTGGGAAGTGGGCATGAAGTGGAAAGTGGAAAAAGTCAAGTCAGGATAATTCTAAACTGTAAAGGGGGAAAGGGAAGTAGAGAAGTTCCTGTGGTCATTGACTCACTTGGGTGGTAGGAGAAATGTATCAGAGAAAGCCTCTGTTAAAAAAAAAGACCCAGACTGCCAAGACGAAAGACTGTATTCTGTGTTCCTCATCTCTTACCAGGGTACACTTATAATAAAAACAAGAAATTACTAGCAAAGTACCAATGTTTCAAGATTGTACAGCAGCATAGTTAGTTCTTGACACTAAGCCATTTCTATCCCTTAAACTTGTATTCTACCCTTCAGTTACTTGATTTATTTTTTTTAATTAAAAATTTTTTTTAAAGTAAGCTATACACCCAAAGTGGGACTTGAACTCATGACCCCTAGACCAAGAGTCACATGTTCTTTTGGCTGGGCCAGCCAGCTGCCCCCTTATAAATTTTTTTTTTTTTAAAGTAAACTATACACCCAATGAGGGGCTTGAACTTATGACCCCTAGGATCAAGAGTCATATGCTTTGATTTTTTTTTTAAAAAGTACATGAGAGGGCCACCTGGGTGGCTCAGTTGTTGGGCGTCTGCCTTCAGCTCAGGTCATGATCTCAGGGTCCTGGGATCAAGCCCCGCGTCGGGCTCCCTGCTCGGTGGGAGGCCTGCTTCTCCCTCTCCCACTCCCCCTGCTTGTGTTCCCTCTCTCGCTGTGTCGCTCTCTGTTAAATAAATAAATAAAATCTTAAAAAAAAAAAAAAAGTACGTGAGAAAGCTAAAGTATTGAAACTCCTGAGCCTTAAAAAAAACCCATTCGTGAAAAACAAACTGAGGGTTCTAGAGGGGAGGGGGGTGGGAGGATGGGTTGGCCTGGTGGTGGGTATTGGGGAGGGCACGTTCTGCATTGAGCACTGGGTGTTATGCACAAACAATGAATCATGGAACACTTCATCTAGAACTAATGATGTAATGTATGGGGATTAACATAAGAATTAAAAAATAAAAACAAAAAACCCATTCGTTAAGCTCTAAAGAAAAAATAGAAAACAACTAGAAGAACGGGAGTAAAATTTTCCCGGGAAAATGTTAACTGACACTACAAAGCATCATTTTCTCTTCTCTTTTAGGGTAGGTAGAGCCAACTTTGCTTAGGTTATTTTTACACAGTAAATGTCATTTTAGCTCTCTTGGTATGCATCAACCTATCTAATTAACCAGCAACACCAGTAATTCTGAATGGTTGTATTCTTCCTGTGAGAAGGTAATTGTGTATTGCTATTCCAGATGTCTTTCTAAGACTATCGTTTCAGATTTCTGAGTTAATGATTAATGTGAAATCAGCATGAGAAATGTGATTTGCATTGCTCTAAACCTGTGATTTGGGCTCAGAAGGGCTTGCCTAATTGAGATGTTGATGACAATTTCCAGTGAGGTTATTTTTTGGCAGCAATATTTTACTAAATTGGCTGTGAGATATATCTTGCTCTTTAACCACAAGGCTGCCAGGTCACTTGATTACCCCATAATAGAAAGGGGGCAGGAGAGAAGCATTTACTTTTAGCATCATTCCAGTCAGGAGAATCAGAGGGCAATTTCCTTAGGTAGTCCTTCAGGAGCATCTCATACCGGGGAATCCGCTGAACAGGTTCTAGCATGTGATGCTGCAAAGTCAAGCTCCCACAGATCTTCTGTTTCTACAATGAGAAAGGTTTTTGAAGAAAGATTTAAAAATGAAATCGGCCCATCTAAAAACTCACTGTCATACAGAACTTTCATGAAGGACAGTATTTCCCTACAAAGTGTGGTCTGTGGACACTTGCATTAGATCGATCTAAGGCACTATTAAAAATGCAAATTCTGAACCCTTTCCCAATCTATGAAACCAGAATCTCTGAGGCTAAGGCCTGTGAACAAGCATTTTAAAATATCCCACATTCTTACAACATTAAAGTTTGAGGCCCACCAATCTAGTCTAAGAACAGAAAGAAAAATCAAGCAGAATTTTAAGGAAGAAAATTCCAGATTGCTGGCAACCACTTCAATTAGTCACTAGGAGGGTTTGTGTGGTCACATTATTGAATCATACTCCAGAGATTTTTAAAAGATGCATATATTTAATGAGGTTCACAAGCACAACAGTATTACATGACTTTGGACTCAGCAGAAACTATTTAATAATAAGGCTACCATAAATGTCATTTCTTTTGAACTTAAAAAGACTCCACATAGAAGAATGACAAGATCTGAGCATCTTATTATCTCTCACAAAATTTTAGTTTTTCATTAGGCCATGCCAGTCTTTTCCATTAGAAACTGAACTCTGTAAATAGATCTCCTTTTCTTACAGCAAAATTGAGTCTATAGCCCTTATTTTTAATAAACTGTTAACATAAGACAGGGAAAAGATTATTTGAAAAATAAGATGTGTTCTTGTTCATATTAAACAAATGAAGAATCCCATTAAAATACTTATTGAACTCATACCATGATCAAGGCACTGTCAGGTATAAAAGTTGTATTAAGACATGATGTTTGCATTCAAAGCAAACAAGAAACTAAAGCCTTCACAGACAAGAGAGCATTGGACGTGAACTCTGATGAGGGCAGCCTCTGGTGGGAAGGGAAGACAACCAAGGGACAAGTGCCCAAAGAGGGACCATGGAGAACAGGCCAATGGCAGTGGGAACACACACACACACACACACACACACACACACACACACACAGGGGATGAGGAAGAAAAGATAATCTGGGGTAATAAGTCAAGCTGAGTTTAGACTTGCTTCATCAAATGCAGGTTTTCATGCAGGAGAGTGGTATCATTAGATCTGAGATGTATTAAGATTAACTTACTGCAGTGTGGCTTTAGGGAGATGTGGGGAAATTCGTTTGGAAGTTATGGTGTAGACCAGGAAAAAAATGTATGAAGAGCCTGAAATCAACATGGAAGCTGAAGAAATAATAGCTTTCCTTACTACAGTATAAAATACTAATGATATAAGTTTAGTCATTTCATTTGACTTTCTCCAAAAAATCTATTGTATATGTGTATAGGAAATATATATATTATTATATATTATATGTATAGTAAATATAGGAAAATATTACTGATCTCCACATTTTTACATGAAGAAACTGTGGCTCAGAGAAGTTAGAGTCTTCTGAAGTCCAGTGACTAAGCGGCCGAATGTTAAACTTAGTTGGTTGATTCCCAATGCACTATGACAGTTTAGAGGTAGGAAATGATTAGAAACAATGACCCTAGAGGCATCTGTAGGACATGATGGCTAAAGGCCCAGGAACATGAGGGTGTGAAGGCCAAGAAGAATGCAAGGAGTCAATCAACCCTGTACTCTGTCCACATCACAGTTTAAGCCAAAGGGGCTAGTAAAAGAATCAAAGGAGCCAGAGTTCAGAAAGGTAGATGAGTGCTTTAATCGTGAGAGAAGAAAAAGAAAAAAAGTGAATGGAAAGAGGCAGGACTTTTGTCTATGGCTGAGGGAGGAGACTGGCAAAATCCTCCCTGGAAAAAGCAACTAGAAAGCTGGATAAAACTGATAAAACAACCATTTCAGCCATCTGGAAATTGACCAAAGGCACAGAACAATCTGAAAAGCGTTTATGCTTCAAAATTGTTGACCTTTGGGTAAGAACAGTGAGAATTTGTGGCATTCTGGCCTGGGGTCCCACCCATTCCTCCCCTAGCAAATGAAGATTCAATGACTGGAAGGTTCAGTTTGGGTGGGACTGGCTGTGAGGACTGGCAGCGTCTCTGCTAAAGTTGAGAGGGCTCATTAGATTTGGAGTGGTGGGCAATGCACACAACCAGCAACACTGTCAGTGAAAGTGAAGGTGGGCAAGTGGGGAAGACCAATGGCTCTACTAGCCTGAAGCTGTGGTTGGAGGTGGGAGGTTAGATAATAATATTCTTGGCTAAGGCTGTGTGAATGATCAGCAGAGACAGATGAGAGCTTAAGCCAGTATACCCCCTGGGCCACCCTGAGGCTATGAACATGCAGACAGGAGATATAAAAGGGTCCAGTGGACTTGAAAATGGTCTGATCTTTAAATGCGTTCCCCTATGCATAGGTCCATCAGGAGGAGACAGTTTACTGGCTCTAGGTAGTTTAGTCCTCTCTGTTCAATAACTGTTTGACCCTTAACCTACACAGACAGAGGGGCAATGCCTAGAAAGCTGGGATCACATATACATACACACGAATATTAAACCATATGCTGAGTAGAGACATTGGCAACTGCACACCAGAGGAGAGACAGATTTTATAGATTGAGTCTAAGCAAGTTACTAAACAAACAAAACTAACCAAAGCCTCTTTCAGTGGGGGAAATCAGAATCCAGAGTTGCCACAATAGGTTATCTAAAATGTCCAATATTCAGCAAAAAAAATATGAGACATTCAAAGACATAGTAAGCTGTTACTATTTACTAAACTGAAAAAAGGCAATCAAAAGAAATTGTCTATGAACACAGATACTGGATGTAGCTGGCAAAGACTTCAATGTAGCTATTATAAAAATGTTCAAAGAATGAAAGGAAATTGTATTTGAAAAACATGAAAAGTATAATAACAATGAATGCACAAATAGCAATTTCCAAGGAGGAAACAGGCATTATAAAAAGGACCAATGGAATTTCTGGAGTTGAAAAGCACAAGAGCTGAGATGAAAAATGCACCACTGGGACGCGACAGCAGATTCCAGATGGCAGGAGAAAAAAAAAATCAATGAACTCAAAGAAAGATTAATAGAAATGATACAATCTGAAGAACAGAAAAAAGACTGAAGAAAAATGAATCATCTCAGAAATTTGTAGAATAACAAGAATACCAACATACGTGTAATTGGAGTAAATTATTTGAAGAAATAATGGCTGAAAACTTCTCAAATTGATTAAAAAACCCTACACATCTAAAAAATTCAACCCTAAGCAAGATAAATATAGAAAGAGTCACATTTGACACATCTTATTCAAATTGTTGAAAGACAAAAGCAAAGAGATAAATTTGAAAACAGCAAGAGAAAAACAATTCATCACATACAGGAAATATCAATACAGTTCCTAACTTCCCATATAAAACAATAGAGGACAGAGCACAGTGAAATGACATGCATTTTGCTGAAACAAAACAAAACAAAACAAAACTATTAGCCAAGAATTCTGTATCCAGTAATACAATTCAATAGTGAAAAAAAAATAAGGATATTCCCAGATAAACAAAGACCAAGAAAATTTGTTGCTATCCAATCTCTGCCTTACGAGAAACACATCATTTTATGTGGAAAGGAACTTACTTCAGAAATGATAAATATATGGGTTAATACATTTATAGATATATTTTCTTATATCCTCCCTTCTTCCAAAGACATAAAATTATATAAAATAATAATTATATCACTGTATTACTGGATTTAAAACCGACAAGGGGAATATATAGGAGACTAAAAGCACAGGGCATGGAGGAACAGAGCTACAATGGAGCAAAATGCCTGTATTTTACCAGAATTAAGGTTAGTATTAATCTGAAGTAGACTGTGATAAATTAAGATGCATATTATAATTCCCCCAACAAATAGTAGGAAAAAAATGAAAAACAGTTTTAAAATTTAGAGGAATTGAAATGGTAAAATAAGAAATATTTATATAGCACAAAAGAAAACAGAGGAGCAGCAGACTCCCCACCCAAAAATCCTATGTGATCCAAAGAATTCCTTTTTGATTTTTTAAACTTTATCAAATAATACATTATTAACAACTTTGACTAGACAATCAAATAGAAATTACTACGGTGTTATTAAAGTGTATTATCCAGGTTTGGTGAAATTGGAAAAAAAAAAATCAGGACACATATATAAAGTGACACACACACACACCCCCCCAGAATAATAATGTTTGCAGAATGTCAGGGTTTATGGCAATCATTCTTTATATTCATTTATATATTCATTCCATCATCTCAACCTCCGAAAGAAAGCAAGAGAAGCATAGACCTGAATGGGAACTCACTTTATAAATTTATGTGGATCTTTACAAAAGCTAGACTCAAAAGCAAACAGACTTTACTGCTTAGCACATAGCATGTGCTCAATAAATATGTTAATTTTGCAGAGATGATTTTTGCATAATTCAGAATAGCATGGAATTTAGCAGTCTCCAACAGATGTCTCAATTTAGAAGACCAGTGCTCCAACCCCTGAGATATAGGGCCTCACAAGATGTCTCAATCTGAACTTTAGATCTAGAAGACCTTACGATTTCTATGGAAAAACTAATTCATAGCCTTGAACAAAAGGGTCCAATTACCTGAATTTCTTCAACTACTGATTTGAACTGGGGAACACGCTCAGTCATGTTTTTAACCAATTCCATAGCGTTATCAAATCCCTTCACATATTCTCCATACATCTTAAGGAATGGTGCCAATTTCTGAAGGATGTCACCAATTCTAGGGGTTGTTTCCCTGCACAAAACACAGAAACAGGTCATTAAGATTTCTTAGAGAGTAAGTGAATTAACAGACTCCAAATGAAGTGATCACTTTCTACACACTCCCTGTGCTTCATCAGACCCACCTTGCCATGAGATGGGTAGAAAATGAAGCAGCACCTTTTTAGAGGGAGTTTAGAATGACATAGTAAAGAGACATGCTATGGAGTTTTTAAAGCTCCAGATTAGCCCTGATACCGCATCTCCACTAATCAAAAGATAGTTTGGAGAGCAGATATGAAATCCTTTTCAACCAAAGCTAAAAATGTACCACAACTCCTTATCAGTGGTCTTTACAGTAAAAATTTAACTCAAATGTTTGGCTGTAGCTCTGTGTAGCATTATTGTTTCAATTTAAAAGCAAATAACGCAGCACCTAATGTGACTGCCTTAAACATATCATTTGCCATCTACTCCTCTTACCATTCTTGCATTCGTTTTTCCAGCTCTGGCAATAGGAATTTACTATGGAAGGCATTTATTGATGAAATATTAGAAAAGATTTTATTCACCATCTCTGCTGGATATGAGCCTCGATTTGCTTCTTCTAATAATTTGCAGTAAAATACCTGAATAAGAGAATAAAGCAAACATTACTTTAACTTTATTGGTTACCACCTAGCACTGTGCTGGGCATATAGTGGGCTCTTAGTAACTTTCGTTGAATCAATGAAAAGGTTCATGGTTCAAGAAATAAATCATTTTTGAAATGTCTGAATATATGCTTTGATTGAGAAGAACCAGGAATTAGAATTAGAAACCTTGACTCTAACCTAGGCTATGCATCTATTTGGGGGATGTTAACCTTTTCTGTGCCAGAGAATTTCCAAGTGAGGTAAAGGGATTTACTCCTATCTATAAGTAGAAGTAAGAGAGATGGAAAGCTTTACATACAACAATTGTGGTACATTTCACTCCTCTTTATGTTTTGAATGACTTTGACGGCACGTGTATCATATTGCCCTTTACTGTAATTTGTTGGCATAAATCTCATTTTCCCTATTAAAACCTGTATGCCCCCTTGGGGAGGGAGGCCATCACAGTTTAGTTCCCACAGTAGAACAGGTGCTTAATAAATATCTGGTCAATGGATAAATAAAAGAATTTCAGTTCACAGATGTTTTCTTGCTTTTAAGTAAGTAATAATGCATGATAACTTGAACACTTACAAGAGGATAAAAAGATCTCCTGTACATAATAATGAGTATCTTAAAAACAATTTTTTAAAAAATTGCAGTCTTAGCTATACTCCACTAGGGCTACTATACCTCTTAATTGCCATTCTGTTAAATGTAGGCAGAAGGAGGTCTGTTCCTTCATAATGTCCAGATGGTTGTTAATTTTCTAAATTCACCTCCACTGCATTTTCTTGGGAGGCAAAAAGAACACAAAATTATGTCCTTAGAGACTCCAATAGATAGGATATTAATTAAGACTCTAAAATTCTAAAAGGTCAGCAATAGTAGCTGACAAGCTAATACAGCTAAAATAATAAAGAAGAACAAAAACCAAAAACCCACAAAACCTGGTAAGAGGAAAAGACATGTCTCCATGATGGGAATACCTAACATTTCAGGTCTGTAATCCCCATGAGGAAAAAAATTGTTTCGAAGGTACAAACTCAACATGAATTGATGGACTTACAGTGAAATTCTTTGGAAAGTGAGTATTTAAGTCACAAACTCGTTATTTCAAAGAACAGAACGCTTAATCTGATCCCTTAAGGCTCACTCTAACAGGGCCAGAGTTCACACTAGGAACCGACGATAAGGAGGTATAATACCCAGGATGGCGTGTTCCCATGAAGTTCCAGTTTTCCGATGGCAGAAGTGGGACAATTCTTCTTATAATTAACACTCAAACATGGCAACTTTCTCTTCTAATAAGAGAAGTCTACATTAACAATCTACCAATTACCTTGTTCTTTTATCATTAAAACAATATTAAGAGGCCTTAGTTTTCAAGTGTTCTTATGATGCATTTTAAAACTTTCTTTGTAAACGTACGTGTATTTCAAATGAGAGGCTCCGTGATGAGAGTACAAAATGTGAAAAAGTAGGATGTCATTACCAACAAATATTGACTATGCAACTTTACACCAGGCACTGTATTAGATGTCTCCTACAAGTTTGAACAAGTGAACGCTCAAAATTCTTCTGGCCCTAATACTCCATTAATTCAGATGACTCACATGGGGCTGAAGAGTGCATGAGACAAATAGAATCAGTGACATATTCACGTACGAATTAGAATCACCAATCTCTTATTTAGATGATAATGGTAACATGGCTCTAGGATCATAACAAATGGTCAAGAAACATACTAGTGTTTAGTGTTGAAAGATACAGATAAAGGCATTTTGTGACTCACAGAGAGTCCTTGAATCTGCTCTTTATGAATTGAAAACCCTTTGTGTCTAGTGAATTCACTGACAAAGCTAAAAATCCTAAAGATTTCCTTGAAGAAAAAGCTTTCACTGGCCAAAAAGTCATGCTCTTCTTATAGTTCCTAAAACCCCTTGATTACTAAAAATGATGTACAATGCCAAAAAATAACCCTGAAAGGGAAAATCTTACCTGATCTAAGAGGTCAAGTCGGTTGACATAAGCTCTTTCTGTAAGCAAAAGTTCGTTGGCTATTTTGTGAAGCTTTTGCTCATTAGTTTCCTAAAAATACAATAGATGTTCACATATTAGGAAATAAAGCCTGGACATATTTTTCAAGTAATAAACACCTTATCAGATGGTCAAAACAGTTTTCTCAAGCTTCTCAGGTACCCAATTCATTTCAGCCATGAAGGGTCATCCAACCAGAAATGAACAAAATTAAAATAATCTTCTAGATTTAACTTAGAACATCTGTAGCCTCTGTCAAAATTAACACTCTCATCTTTGTTCTTAAAACACATTTTATCTTTCTTAGATACTGTATTTGGCTCATTTTCTCCCTGCCTCTCTCAGGCCACTCTTTAGCCATGATTTCATCATTCTCTCAGATACCTTGTCTAATTATTAGCTCTATGTACCCAACTTTTTGCCTTTTTAAAAAATGTTAGGGAAAATTCCAATCACATATGAGTAAACAGTAAAATGAACCAGTACGTATCCGTTACTAAGATTCAACAGCTATCAACTCATTGTTAATCTTGTTTCATCAATCCTCCCCTCCCTCTACCCACATTATCTTTTTTTTTTTAAGATTTTATTTATTTATTTATTAGAGAGCGAGCGAGAGAGAAACAGCATGAGAGAGGAGAGGGTCAGAGGGAGAAGCAGGCTCCCCGCTGAGCCGGGAGCCCGATGCGGGACTCGATCCCAGGACTCTGGGATCATGACCTGAGCTGAAGGCAGTCGCTTAACCAACTGAGCCACCCAGGCGCCCTCTACCCATATTATCTTAAATACAAACACTTTATTATTCCCTCAGTGTATGTTTACTTAGCCCTTAAATATATTTGTATAGCTTTGCTAGTTCCATGAGAATGGGAACACTTTTTTTTCTCGCTAACTTGGTAACTCTCTCTTGTCTTCAATAAAATGCTGGCATTCAATAAAATATTGCTGAATGCATGAATGAGTAGCAATAACACAAACCTAACGACTGTTGGACTTTTATTACCACTTTGATATGCTGTCAATGTAAGACCAAACTCATCTTTTCAGGAAAACCTCTCTCTTACCACCTCCCACCCTACCCCATGCCACCCTACCCCACCAGAACTTTACCAGCCTGATGATGGTTCCATCCCTTTCCAGTTACCTGGCTTTGGCATCTTGAATCTCTCTAAACTTAGTTCCCTACCACAAAATCCAGCTGCTATGAGCTCCTACTCATATTATATCATTAGCATCCATCCTTTAAGTTTTCATCCCTGCCACCCGGTTTTGCTCATACCATATGTCAAGCCCAGCCAATCAATAGCTCCCAGTTGATCTGATTCTACCATTTTTTGGCTAATCAGACCCACCTTGCATGCTGTTGTATGAGCAATCTTTCTAACTCTGCTTTGCCAAGATCATTCTACTTTCCATAGAAGGAAAACTTCCAATAGTCCTCTTTTCACCAGCAGGATAAAATCCAGACTCTGTATATCATTCAGGGTTGTTCAAATCTCATCTCTACTCACTGTCTCAGACTTCTTTCCTGTTGTATCTTTGCAGGCACCCTTCCCTCCAAACACACCAATCTAATGCACCGTTATAAAACATGTCCATGGCCATTCCCAAACTTTTCTTCTTTCCATTCTCTCTGCATGGCATACATTTTTTTTTTTAAGATTTTATTTATTTATTTGACAGAGACACAGCGAGAGAGGGAACACAAGCAGGGGGAGTGGGAGAGGGAGAAGCAGGCTTCCCGCGGAGCAGGGAGCCCGATGTGGGGCTCCATCCCAGGACCCTGGGATCATGACCTAAGCCGAAGGCAGACGCTTAAGGACTGAGCCACCCAGGAGTACCCCCTTCAATCTATTTTTTTTAAAAGATTTTTATTTATTTATTTGACAGAGAGAGACACAGCAAGAGAGGGAACACAAGCAGGGGGAGTGGGAGAGGGAGAAGCAGGCTTCCCATGGAGCAGGGAGCCTGATGCGGGGCTTGATCCCAAGACCCTCGGATCATGACCTGAGCTGAAGGCAGACGCTTAAGGACTAAGCCACCCAGGCACCCCCATGGCATACATTCTTGCTTTATCTCTTTAGGTGTTTAAGACTTACTTTTTTTTTTTTTTTGGATGGCTTGCTGAATTTCCATTCCTTGTCCATGGAGCCTTCTTCAACTATCCAAAGCTCTTGGGTTTGGTGCTATTAGAATTCATTTTCTATTTTATACCTAAACATCTTTTTGTTGAGAAATTTCTACCTAGGTATTTGCTGAAGTATCCTTTTCATTCTAGGTAAGTGTGAAGCATAGTAAGGGTTTAGTAAAAACTAATAGGAAAGCAGAACAAAGTATATTTTAAACCAGTGTCTAATGTGTGCAAAGACTACATTTTAAACTATGTATAAAATCCTATTCAGCTGTAGGAATGCTTCATTGTGTTCAGCATATGAGGTCTACTTTTATGCTTTATGCAGTATCTGTTCTAATGTGAAAAGTTATCATTTTGCTTTTTACAGCAGCACTGAAATGAGGTATTTTTACATGAAATCTTCAGGTAAAGTAATGTAATACTGTTTAAATATTTGTGGTCTCAAAAATACTGAAATAAGAACTATGTAGTCATTAAATTCCACAGTTAGCCAAGGTTTTGGTTAAACAACAAATTCAGGGTAAAGTATTAGCATTATCGTTTGCCTGTTTGACATCCTTTCCCTCCATTTCCTAATGATACCCAGATTTGTTCAGAGCATCTATCTTACTACTATGTAGCCTTTCCTTTGGAGAAACTACCCTCATTCCCCAGATCAAAATTAGGCCTTGACTGGTATAACAATCAAGAATACAGTGACTGGTTCAGACGCCAATAAAACATGAGGCTATATGCACTGGGGCTCCCTCCTCTCGGCACCACCCCTCTCTCCTATCACCAGCTCCTGTTAATAGATCTGCCCTTTTCCAGAATGTTGTGTAAATGGAATCACACAGTATGTGCCTTTTGAGTCTTGCCTCTTCCAATTCTCAAAATGCATTTGAGATACATCCTTTTTGTCATTAGTATTAGTGGCTTGCTCTTTCCAAGCCCTTATTCTTTTTTTTTTTTTTTAAGATTTTATTTATTTATTTGACAGAGAGAGACACAGAGAGAGAGGGAACACAAGCAGGGGGAGTGGGAGAGGGAGAAGCAGGCTTCCCGCCAAGCAGGGAGCCCAATGCGGGGTTCGATCCCAGAACCCTGGGATCATGACCCGAGCCAAAGGCAGACACTTAATGACTGAGCCACCCAGGTGCCCCCAAGCCCTTATTCTAATAGTGGTACTACTGTATCTTTTTGACTTACTCACACACTTTCCTATGCTCTGATTCTAGTTTGACAAATAACTCTAAAGAAAACCATCCAGCAGAATTTGTGCCGTGATAAAATGATACATCTCTTATGAGTCAGAGAATTCATTAACCAACAGGTCATACTGGTTGTTATTGCTATGCAGTGAAGTCACTCCTGAGGTCTTCCACATCCTACAGGATCTTAAATAGGAAGCTTATAATAAACAATCTTTTGCTGACTCTAAATCATACTTTAGCTGAACTTGGCAAGTTGTAGGTATCCTGGTCATAATTTGCCAAATCCAAGGGAGATGCCAGGAGTTATTAGCAAAAGCTGTGTCCTTCCACACAGATGGGCTTCTAATGTCAGGACCCTGACCTTGCCAAAACCAACACAAAGATAAGCAAAAGTAAACTTGCTGACATTCAGTTTAAACACTCACATATAGGTGTATGAAAAGTTACTAGGGATTTTTGTGGTGGAGGTGAGGAAATCACCGACCCAAACAACAATTTCACCAGAAGAACAGCTAACACTTATTCACTGATTGCTTGTTATGCACAAGACACTTATATTTTACATAAATTGACTAATCCTTATAATAACTCTATAGAATAGATACATTATTCCTGTTTTATAGGCAGCACACACATACAAAAGACAAAATTCCAAGGCTCAGAAGGGCCAGGTGACTTGCCCCAAGTCACACAGTTAAAAGGTAACCAAAGCAGATTCCAATCATATAGGAGAGCATGGGACTTTACGTTATGGTCAGTAAACCCTTCGCTCTCACTCTAACTCTTCTCTGCAACAAGAAACAAGACTAATAAGTGCCTACAAGGGATACAGACTAAGAAAATACAAACTATCCACTTGAAAACGAAATGGGATATCTACTAGGCATTTTAATTTACACATTCTTTCTCTAATATAAATTCTATTTATAGCAGGCTTCTCAGCATTCTAGTAATTATCAGGTATTAAAAATTCAGTCATATTTGATGTAATGATATGATAGCTTCTAACTTTTTTCTTTTTTTAAAGATTTTAGGGGAGCCTGGGTGGCTCAGTCATTAAGCTTCTGCCTCCAGCTCAGGTCATGATCCCAGGGTCCTGGGATCGAGCCCCGCATCAGGCTCCCTGCTCAGCGGGAAGCCTGCTTCTCCCTCTCCCACTCCCCCTGCTTGTGTTCCTGCTCTCGCTTTCTCTTGCTCTGTCAAATAAATAAATAAATACAATCTTTAAAAAGAAATTTATTTGAGAGACAGCAGGAGTGGGGTGAGGGGCAGAGGGAGAGGGAGAAGCAGACGCCTTGCTGAGCAGAGTGCCCAAAGTGGGGCTTGATCTCAGGACCCTGAGATCATGACGTGAGCCAACAGCAGAGGCTTCACTGAGTGAGCCACCCAGGCACCCCTGATGGCTTCTAACTTTAAAAAATTAGTTACTGAAACTCATCTGTGAGTACATTTAGGGAGAAATACATGATCCGTCTGCATGCATGGGTCTCTACTACTCTATCAGACTTGTGCTTAAATAACAAACCTGTTCTAAAATTGCTGATACACTGGGGATATAGCACGGTATTTTTTTAAAATAGAAAGTTAAATAGGTCAAGTTATAGAATATTGTCTCTTATTATTTGCCACTTCAAAACTATATAACCCCTACTTTGTTCTTAGCACTTTACTAAGAAGTCATATATTCTTTAGATTCTTTGGAAAACAGTAATGGCTACACAATA